ACCTCCCAGAACATTGTATTGTGCCACGCCCAACAGAAATAACCCAGGTGGGCGACTTTAAAATCAGGATCTCCTCAGTTGCTAATACCAATTCCCACCTTGGAGTTTACAAAGACTTATGGGTAGAAAAGCCACACTAAGTAATTTACTACACCGCACTTCCACATTGTTCTCCCTCTCTATCCAGGATCTCCTACATAGATCCCCTTCCAAGAAAGGAAGGAAGATGGGGCGATCTACTTCCGTAGTGATACTGCCTCAGAAACTCAAGGAAGGGTTGCTATGAGTTGGGTCTGACTCCACGGCACATAACAACAACAACAACCCTTGTATTTTCACCCCAGTTATGGTGTCTTTGATGAACAGAAGTTTATCATTTTAATGTAGTCAAATTTATTTATCTTTTCTTTCACAGTTAATATTGGTTGGGTATTGTTTATAAAAAGGTCAAGGAGCCCTGGTGGTGCAATGGTTAAATCCTTGGCTGCTAACTGAAAGGTTGGTGATTTGAACCTGCTAGGAGAGAGCTGGTGATCTGCTCCTGTAAAGATTGTTATTGTTGTTGCGTTGTTAGGTGCCCTTGAGTCGGCTCTGTCTCATAGCGACCCTATGTACAACAGAACGAAATACTGCCTGATCCTGCACAAACCTCACAATTCTTGCTATATTGAGATTATTGTTCCAGATTGATATGTGTCAATCCATCTTGTTGAGGGCCTTCCCCTTTTTCGTTGACTCTCCACTTTACCAAGCATGACATCCTTCTCCAGGGAATGGTCCCTTCTGACAGCATGATCAAAGTAGGTGAGACGAAGTCTGACCATTTTCGCTTCCAGGGAGCATTCTGGTTACACTTCTTCCAGGACAGATTTATTAGTTCTGGCAGTCCATGGCACTTTCAGTATTCTTTGCTACCACTACAACTCAAAAGCATCAACTCCTCTTCGGTCCTCCTTATTCATTGTCCAGCTTTCACATGCATATAAAGTGATTGAAAACATTGTGGCTTGGGTTAGGCACACCTTAGTCTTCAAAGAGATATCTTTACTCTTCAGCGCTTTAAAGAGGCCTTTTGCAACAGATTTGCCCAGTGCAGTAGGTCCTCTGATTTCTTGACTGCTGCTTGACTGCAAGAAGCAGCAGTCCTGTAAAGACTACCGCCTAGAAAACCCTATGGGGCAGACCCACTCTGTCACATGGGGTTGCTATGAGTCAAAAGGGAGTCAACAGCACCTAACAACAACAAACCCTGTGGTCAGAAATATGTTCTCCATTTTACTGTATATATTTAAAGTTTTGCCTTTCACACTTAAGTGCTTAATAGTTCAGTCAACTACAAAGTAATAACAATGATACATTTGTATGTCCCTAACAACATAATTTCAAAATATATAAAATAAAAATAAAGACCTACAAGAAGAACTGCCACATCCACAAGTAGCATGCCTCTCTCAGTAACTGATGGAAGAACTTGTTGTTGTTGTTGTTGTGTGCCGTCGAGTCGGCCCCGACTCATAGCGACCCCTCCTTGGGTTTCCGAGGCAGTATCACTACGGAAGTAGGATTGCCCAACCTTCCTTCCGAGGAGTGGCTGGTGGGTTTGAACCGCCAGCCTTCTGGTTAGCAGTCAAGTGCTTTAGCCACTATGCTACCAGAGCTCCGATGGAAGAACTAGGCAATGTAATTAACAAACTTGACCCAATGAACATACATAGAACACTGCACTCTATACCCCAGAATATTTAACAGCCGTAGAACATTCTTTTTAAACACACACAGAACACTTGACCATATACTTGAATCATAAAGAAAATTTCAAAGGATTATAATAGCATTGTGGTTGTTTTTTAAAAACTCATCTTTTAGAGATTCAAATTAAAACATTTCTAGACGAAATGAAAATATGAGTTTCACTTCAAAATAGTACTTGATGTTGAGAAATCTGTGTCCATGTCTGTAGAATACAGCACAATATCTATGTTAATATTCAGGGTTTAAAACTCACAAGCAAGAGAACTCCCGGGTATCAGTGAAAAGGCGACAGACTTCTAAACAAACCAAATAGTTGGTCATCTGTGTGTTTGTTTCCAATCTTTCTCCAGGTGCCTCAGGCCTTTCCCGCCCTGATCCTAAGAACCAATCATTGAGGTCGGCTTCGGCTTGGGACCAATCAGCGAGCTCAGCTCTACCCGTCTTTTCTCGTCTTTTTTGTGAAGGCGGCGCCATGTTCCAAGGGCAGCGGGGTTGGTTCTGTGGCAGCGTTAGCCCGGATCTGAGGCAGCTGTGGGGTAGGAAGCTGGGTTGAGGGGGTAGGTGAGGTGGGGAGGGGAGCGCACCCTCCTTCCGCTGGTGCTTTTCCTCAGGGTGTCTGTTAGGCTTATCCTGTGCTCTTGTCTCCACAGTGGCAGAAGGGGGGACAATCAGTGACTCACGGTCCGCAGACTTCTTATTCAGCTGTGACGCCTCACACCCAGACACACTGAGGTACCTGAAAGCCACCTGGCAGTGGCCTTTGTGTCACAATGAGCCAAGAATTTGGGGCGGAAGTTACAGTCCAGCAATAAATACTGGTAATAGGGAAAAGTCTGGAAACGAGAGCTTTCAGTTCCAGGTGTGACCAAAAACAAAAAACAAAAAACAAAAAACACACCTTTCTTCTCTCTAGTCCAATAGCCTGCCCTCCATAGATCCTCGGATCTCTTCCCAAATTCCAGAGGAATATTTTCAGCTGTCTCCTACAACTCCACATGGCACCTGGAAGGCCCCATACTCAATATATTTAAACCAAATCTTATTACTCCTCATAATTGCACTAGGGCCTTTGTTCTAAACTTAAAACCTTAGTAGTTTCTTTTCATTAACAACCCTCTCTCCCCATTATTCCAGTTGTTAAATTCCATGGATTGTAGCCCTGAATTTATTCTTCATTCTCACTGTCATTGTCTTAATATGCGTCCCAATGACCTCTTGCTCTGACCATCACATTAAGTTCCTAGGAAGTTTCTCTG